TTCTCCCCGTGTTGGCGTGGGTTTCCTTCGAGTGGTTAGGTTTTTTAGTTAGTGGTTCATTGAGCTGTGGCGACCCCTAAAATAGAAACTAAGCCAAAGAAAAATGAATGAATGAATATTTCATCAAAGAACTAATAATGACTGTGGTGATACACATTTTGATACACATTCCCTGATATCTGCCAGGATGTAGGGATAATTTATGTGTGGGATGTTCACTTACAGCACTTTTAATAAGATCTCTCCAGTTGTGCTTTGTCAGATTCTGTCCCAGGACCTGCATCAATATGAAATAAGACAGATAGATTGAGGTGAAGAAAGTTGCCACAAAGAGCGCTGACTCACAACACACATATCAGTTAGACGGCAAATGATGATTTATTTGCCACTCAGTCTTCTTTAATTTGCCCCTCAAATGGACATTTAATGTCTGGCTCTCCAGACCACAAAAGTGCAGCGCTAGACAGAATCTTACTGTTAAGCATAGTAACACTGAGACCCGACAAAATATAAATGAAGTGATGCTTTGAAATGAGTTTTGCTTTTGTCTGGCCTTTGCAACTTTTTACGTTCAGTTATGTAACCCACTGGTCCTACTGCACCCAACCCAGTCTGAGATGGGATCAAACTGGCAATTCTTTTTATGGGAGTCGGCTGCTCTAACAAGGAAGCTAATGACCATGGTTTCTAGTGTCTGTCTCCTTTAGAGGTCAAAGGAGTGAGGTTTACCTGCATAATATTCCGCCAGCTGCCCTCTGTTACACTTAACCCCCTAAACCTCACTCCCATCCCGGACGAGCCCCCACATGTAACCAACTGGTCCTACTACACTCAACCCACTCTGAGCTGGGATCAAACCGCCGATTCTTTGTATGGCAGTCAGTGGCTCTAACAAGGAAGCTAAAGACCATGGTCTTTTTGTTAGAGCAACTGACTTCCATACAAAGAATTGCTGGTTTGATCCCAGCTCAGACTGGGTTGGGTGCAGTAGGACTGGTGAGTTACAGTTACTAAACAGTATATTAGAAAAAATCTAAGGGGTAACTAAAGGGATAGTTCACCCAAAAATGGAAATGTTGTATAATTTACTCACGTTTTTCTTGTCACAAGCCTGTTTGAGTTTTTTTCTGTTGATCTCAAAATAAGTTATTTCAAAAAATGTTAGAAATCTGTAACCATACCATAGTTTTTTCCAACATTCTTCAAAATATCTTCTTTTGTTTTCAACACGAAAAAAGAAACTTATAAAGGTATGGAATCACTTGAGGGCGAGTAAATAGGGAGTAAATGTTCATATTGGGGTGAACTATGCCACATGATTTCATAATTTCATATTCGTATCAAACAGCAGGGAAAATACAGATGCTATAAATACTTTAAATATTGAACATGTCATGTTTTTTGCGGGGAATAATATTTCTTAAGGAGCTGTTGACATGGAATTGAACCAGATTTTGGTAAAAACACAAATAATACAAACATAAAAATAAAATAAAACAAATTTTTTTTTTAAATGAGTTATGTGTAATAACAATGGAAGGACACAAGGAGAAAGTGCTGAACTACTAAAACATATTTAATACTTTAAATAAAAGGCTTTTTTGGTTATGGCAGCTTAAAGATGCCTCTATTATGGGAAATGAAGTCACATGCATTGCTCAGGTGTGAGTTTTTCACAGACTTCAACAGAGCGTAAAAATCTTGATGGTTCTGTGGGTCTCGACTATCAAATCTGATCTTTAATTTGTATTTTATATTGGATTCAGATCAGGTGATTGGTTGGGCCATTCTACAGCTTGATTTTCTTTCTCTGAAAGCATTTGAGAGTTTCATTGGTGATGTTTTGGATCATTGTCCTGCTGAAATGTCCACTCTGGTTTCATCTTCATCATTCTGCTAATGTAGATGTTGGACTGAAGCAGCTAATATTCATTTACAATGAGGAAAGGCAGAGGGTTGTTGAAGAACCACTGAGAGATTTCAGCTGCTGTCTTGGCTTTCACTGCCTTTCTACATCTCCCCTTCTTCATGTGTTCAGTACTTTTTCCCTGCGTCATTTAATTTTATTATGCATAACTTGATTTGTAAACTAATTAGACTTGTTTTATTTTAATACATGGATTTCTTTGGTTGTTACCAACATCTGGGGAAATTTCAAATCAAAAGCACCTTTATGTTTTCTGAGAAAAATGTTGATGTGTTCAATACTTATTTTACATGCTGTGTATTGTTCAGGGTGAGTTACACATATTTAATACTTTGAAAGCACCACTGATTTAAAATAGTCTATGCAAATCTCTGCATTAAGGTCTATTGTGTTGACGTTGTTATTGTTTGGGTGCATCGAAGAATAGAGCTCTGTGGTGATGTAACAGGTTCATATTGAATTAATTTTATATGCTGGATCATCCTGCTTCATTGAGCTGATTGCTTTGCAGATGTGCACAGCTGGACATGTCAGGTCTGTGAGGATGCAGTTGGACTGTGCAACCATGTGTTCTGCAAAAACTTAAATATGTTTATTTTTACATAATGAAAGTGTACATGTAAATATCCTAAACCACATCTGCAAAGTTCATGTTGATATTATATAATGTTTCATTTTGTAGAATAGTCATTATATTTATTCCGAATTTAAAAATAAATGTCATTTGAAGAAGCCCTATGCTCCCAAAAAAATGACATTTGCAGTTTGTTCAAACTACTTATTTATAATGAGCTGAAACAATATAATGTATGTCTATTTCTATAGCGCTTTTACAATGTAGATTGTGTCAAAGCAGCTTAACATAGAAGTTGTAGTAGATTTAAACAGTTTTCAGAGTTGAAGTTCAGTTTAGTTCAGTTCAGTGTGGTTTAATTTTCACTGCGGAAAGTCCAAACACTGAAGTCCCAAACCAAGCAAGCAAGTTGCGACAGCTGTGAGGAACAAACTTCACCGATTGACAAAGTGAAGGCAAGAAACAAACTTGAAAGAAATCAGGCTCGGTTGGGCACAGCCATTTCTCCTCTGGTCAAACATCTTATGCAGAGCGGCAGTCTAAGCGCCGGAGGCTGGAGAACGCTGGACGTTCGTCGTGGAGAGCTGCAGGTGTGAGTAGGTCATCGGCGGGTGTTCAGGCTGGCCCGCAGTATCAATGCGGTGTCTTGTCTGTCACTGGGATTTTTCAAGGAATCAGCCTCCATGACCGCCACTGCATCTGCTCAGGATACGGCCTGGTCCAGGATTATAGAAACCTCTAAAAGTGTTTTGTTAACAACAACAACAAGACAATTATAGAGTTTTTTTGTGACAACTTAAATCGTATACATTCAATCTACGGAAATTTGTTAAAAATAATAAGTTAACTGAATTCCTTCATGTTGTCCCAACACAAATCGAATGTGTGGAACCCAGAATTTTTACAGTGTGCATATATATATATTTATTTCTTTCTTTATTTTTTTTTTAATTACATTTTTTTTTTTGCATAAAATAACAAAGGGAGGGCTGTGGGGAACATATTCGTTTCACAGCTGGTTCGAGTCTCTGCGTTTCTGTGTGGAGTTTGCATGTTCTCCCCATGTTGGCGTGGGTTTCCTCCGGGTGCTCCAGTTTCCCCCACGAGTCCGTAGTGTATGTGTTAGAGTGAGTGTGTATGGATGTTTCCCAGTGATGGGTTGCAGCTGGAAGGGCATCCGCTGTGTAAAACATGCTGGATAAGTTGGCCGTTCATTTCACTGTGGTGACCCCGGATTAATAATGGGACTAAGCCGACAAAAAATGAATGAATACATAACAAAAGGAATTTTTAAATATGATTAGTATATAGTATATATTAGTATAAACTACTAGTAGTAGTTTAAAATAGTCTCTTTTTCCCTTATCTGTATGTATAGTCTAGTTTTGGCATGATTTATTATTTTTAGTTTGGAGGAATTATTCCTTTAAAGAAATAGTTCACTTAAAAATGAAAATTCTGTCATCATTTATTCACTCTTAATTTGTTCAAAACACGATTGAGTTTTTTCTTCTGTTGAACACAAAAGGAGATATTTTGAAAAGAATGCTGGAATCTGGCTCTCTTCGACTTCCACAGTATTTATTTCCTACCATGGAAGTTGATGAGTGCCGCAACCAGCATTCTTCAAAATATCTTCTTTTGTGTTCAACAAAAGAAATAAACTCATTATGGGTTGAAACCACATGAGGGAAAATAATTAAGGCTAATTTAAATTTTTGGGTGAACTATCAACTTAAATAAATGTCAGGATGAGAATCAAACAATTTGATTGTTATCACATTAAGCTAGTCAATAAATAAAACCTTAAATCTATCATTTAACAAAACTATAGTAGCCAACTTTTGATGTGGATCAAGACCTTCCATCAAAGTTGTTTTAAAACTATTCAATAACACCCATTATTGTCATTTTTGACCATTTTAATCACTTTTTTGATTCACTTCAAATGTTGACTACATCATTGTTGGTGAAGTTAGTTTTATATTTGCATTCAGACTTTTTCATTATTAATATAATTTCAGAAAAGAATAAAGTATTAGGAAAATCATATTTTCAGCCAATGACTATCAAAGCACAAGATTGTTCACAGTTAGTGCTAATGTTTTGAAGTCATTCTTACATGTGATTTCACTTTGAATATTAAAAGTGCAATAAAAATAGTCATTGCATTTACTAAGTTATTTTAAGGTAAGTGGTTGCAAACAGTTTATATGGGCTGAATTTAAACTAATCTAGTAATTTTCAATTTCATTTGTTTAAATTCAGCCCATTTAAATTGTTTGCAACCAGTTGCCCTAAATGTTTTTTTGTAAATCCAATGAATAAATATTTTTCAGTGTACCATGGTACGAATGTGCGAATATAAAACCAACTTTATCTCAATATCGTTCTCGTACACAATAAAGTATTGCTCAATAAAGAGAGCCTGGCACGGGATATTTCTTTCATTATTCGCTCCTAAGCTCCAGTCAGTCCCACCGCTTTGCCACAAGGAGCGCGCACGGAGCACGATAAGACAAGCGAGCGACGGGAACGCGGAAACACAGCAGAATCGCCTGACGGTGAGCTGAGGTCGGTGCAGAACCGGCGACTGCGGGAACGAGCGACACTCGCCACAGAAACCGCGTCTGAAAACCCACATTCTGGGTGTTACAGATTTACTTTTATTTCAGGTGATCGGATAAGAAACCCGTTTGAGTGGATAACACCGAACCAGCGAAGGAAAAGGCGGATTGTTTCTCCCTCCGACTTGGCTAGTATTAGTCTGGATTTGAGAATGTCGGGGAGCCGAGAGGAGGAGCGGCGGAAACTCGCCGACATCATCAACCACTGGAACGCAAACCGGCTCGACCTGTTCGAGATCAGCCAACCCACAGAGGTGAGTCCGCGGAGCCGCGACCGAGCGCAGGCCGCAGTCGGTTCTGCTGCCCGTGCCGCGAGAATCATTCCCACAGCACGCCACACTGCTACAATTGAATAAACGTGCCGTCTGTGTGTTATAGATCCCTCTTTAACGTTTGAAATTGGCTCTGGAATTCATAAATCACGACTGGAGATATATATTGCCATTTTTCAGTCAGGTTATGGTTACATTAAATGTGAAGTAAGGCGTATATTGTCTAAAACACGAACACTTTTAGTCCCTGTTGCTGTTGGACATTGCATTGGACGTTTCGGTGTGCGTGAAAACGCTCTTATTACCGGGAGAAATCGGTGCTTGCAGTTTGTAGCAGGGAGCTGCATGCAAAGCTGTCACATTAGATCAGACCAGCTGCATATAATAGTGCTGGATGATGGTGTGGGTAGATTGAACGTGAATGTAATGATAAACCTGATTTGTCAGGATGCTTGTGTCAGTGGTCATTGGGCAACGTAGCGGTCATAAACTAATCACACCAGTAACTTTATTTGAGCAGTGCGTGGTTTCGGATATTTGTAACGCAAGCTTCATTGTATGTCATCATGAGAATGCATGGCTGTTTTTGTAAATGTTAGATCAGCATGATTTAGATCTGTCCAGCAACCCCATCGTTCGATCAATTGGGTGTTTAACGCGTTGATGTTCTTGCTTTAGCACCTGCAGATGCATTGCAAGCCAGTTTTAGAAGGGATTTAGTGTTTTTAGGCGGGCAGTGCTTGAATCCTCTGAATGAAGGGGGTTGGGGTAAAGCTGATGGGGGTCTCTCCTTCATTTAACCCCCGTAGGTTTTGAGACCATTCATACTACCATTCTTTGGCCCTTAATAATTCACGCATAAGTGATACTGAGTCCTCGGGTGCACCCGCTGAGGTGACAATAAAAGCCTAGATTAGGTTTGTTTTGGTCTGTTGAGGGTGATTAGGAAGAAGTGGCCAATGCATAACACAGAGCACAAACTCCTAAGATCAGCACGAGTGTTGGAGAGTAGATGACGTAATCGTCTCGTCCTCCAACCAATCGTGACAGCCGATTTGCAAGCCTGGTTCCATTGTCAGTATTTATTCAGTAGCACACTGTATAATGATGCTAATAATATATTACAATCAGCTCTGAATTTTACTTCCAGTAGCTCATTCGCACAATATATTCATAATTTCCACTGTATGAATTGAATTGTAAAGGAATACATTTAATCAAATCTATCTGTAAAAGTGTTTTATGTATATTTTCAGTTACTGTTCTCAAAGTAATTCATACTATTATAGTTTTTTTATGTCATGACATGCAACATTTTACAAACTAAATGTACATTTATTTTTGTCTTTTTATTTTAGCCTTCTGTTAAGCTTGCATTTTGCATTTAAGAATGAACGGCTGATATGTAAAGAGTAATTTATGTAAACAATTGGTTGAATAGGAGGCCTCGCTTTGCTTAAACACTGTTTACTGTTGAAAGCACAGTGATGTAATGGAGTTGAAGGGGGCTGGTGCTATATATTTGGAAGTACGAATAATAGTGTCTGTAAAGTATAGAAATGGCCTTATAATTTTATGGTAACCAGTGTATCTCTTCTAACAACACTTTTTTCTTTTTAAGAAAGATAACAACCTTTATCTTTTGTAATTGCATTTTGAGCAAGGATGGCCACAAACTTTGCTTTCGTTTTGTTTGGGATTGCGGTGTGTTTACAGATCATGTTTGGAGATTCAGCGCAGACATAAAGTGCCTTGTTAGACATTAAATAAAGTCTATTTAACTAGCTTAGTCATTTATTGCATACATACATAATTGATCAGCTCGGTTTTCTGGAATTGTATCTGAAATTGTTTTGCATGTGGTATCTGAAATGTGGCGTCTTCCAATTGTGCACAACTTTTCATGTTAGAAATGGTTTTGTAGTTCCTTTCGGTTTAATCTACCACTTGTGATGCTTTTTTTTCTGAAGGAATAACCATTACAAGATACATTAGAATACTTTTAATATTCATTAATATGTTTTTTTTAAGTAATCTAATTCAGCTAGATAAGTTAGTGATTTCTTTCTAAGATAATGCATCATTTCCTGTGTCTGTATCTTGTCCAGCAAAGACCGTTTCATGAACTAACTCTCCCCACCCAAGTCTTTTGATTCCATTCCCATGCATGTGTCTCACACTAGCTAAGATTGCTCTGTGACATTGTCTTTGGCAAGTGTCGGATGCTGATTCCATGTGTAAAAGAGCAAAAAAAAAAATCCCATATTGCATGCTTGTGCTCTATTCTACGCCATTTTATTGTACATATAGTGTAAGTAGTGCATTCACAATGAACGTTCCAAAAAGAATAAGCGCACTTTAAATATTTTATTGATATTCTTATTCAACCATTTAAATTATGTGTGAATGTTGGACATTTCACAAACTCAACGCTCACAGCTTTGCTCATGTAGCAGCTGGGGTGGACTTATTGGACACTGAGGTTGGATGTCTCTGTTTATTTTGTATTGTGAAAGCTAAATTCTTCCACGTAAGTGACTATGCCGCCTTCTGATTGGTGAATACGGTTGTACTCATGATAGGTACTATTTGGTAGTTTAATATTTATTTCATTAATTTGCCAGTTGTTAAAGGTCAACTGGGAAATGGTTTGAATTTCAGCTTAGTAAGAATAAAATTGTTCTATTAGGGCAGACACTAAACTGCACTACATGGTTGACCACAAGTGTATAGTTTATAGCTTGTCATTTGGGATGACGCTAAACTCTACACTTAAGTTTACAAGTGCATAAGTGTAAATGTTGTGTTATTTGGGATGCAACTATTGTGAGAATCATTAGCTAGCACACTGTTTTGTTTTTGCTAGAGATCTCATGTATGTTGTGGTGGAAAATTATGGATTGCCTTTTCCGTTTATAAAAATGGGATTATCTCTCTAATAGTGAATAATCACTTAATTTGACACATTTTGCAGAATTATTTGGGTTAAAAAATTAGTGTAGTGTGCATCAATCGAATGTTAGACATGAGAAATATATTTTAATTTATAAATAAATAAAAAGACTCCCCATGCTTGAATCTTTTTAAAGTTAGGTGCATTTACATAAATTTGCTAGAGCGACTGATTGTAGTATTGGCAACCTAGTAAGCAGCAGTAAACAAGGCAAGCATATAGGATTCACTATGTCAGAGTGTATTTGTGAAATACATTTTCATCGCATAGGCCTATAATTCGCCACCTCATGTGAGAGTAAAGAGGGATTTTTATTTGAAATTTAGAGTTTCTGTTGCTCGTTTCTCATGTGATACTTCAAAATGTGCATCAACACAGGGTGATGGAGACCCAGCTTTTGTGAGTGAGTGTTTTATTTACTACACCTACTCAAGCGTACGTGGTCTGACATTTCACCATTTGGACATTAACATGCAAATTTCATCTACAAAGTTACTCAGTCACTTAAAATGCATTTAGTTGTTATACGTGTGAAAAACTTTAAATGAGTAATGGCACAATTGCAGTTTTAACAGAATAAAGGTTTTGAGAAGTGAAGGTACTTTTTGATTTCCTAAAAATGTATTCTACCATTGAAATTGAGTTTAGAAAAAAGAACAGTAGAAAGAGAAACAATTTGTTAGAGCCCTTTGACAATGCTGGTTCATTTCTTTCTTTCGTGCATAATGCAAGTTTAAAGTTAGGTTAATGGTTAAATAGTTTAGGTATTAGTTTATCTTAAAGATTAACTTTGTAATATGACATTAAAACATGCAAAACATCTATTTAGTGTTGTCATAAAATCATCTCTTTTTTTTCAGAATTGTATAATTGGCCTAGAAGTAATACCATCAGATAGTGTGATTATTTTGTGGATTGTGACGCAGCTTGCTTATTTTACTAAGAATGTGTTGCTCAGGGTAAAGGTGACACGAAACTGTAATCAAACCAGGTTTTTCCATGGTACTATCTCCCTTTATCACCTTCTGGAAATGGGCCAATCGGGTTAGTTCAGTGTCACCTGTGCACATGGGTAAATGTTTAAGTATGTAGTCTATTCTCTTAGTCTATCATAGTTTAAACTAGGGCTGAACAATATATCGTTTGAGCATCAATATTGCATTGTGTGTATCCGCAATAGTCACATTTTAGAATTATATTATTTATTAAAAAATAAAAGATATTAAAAAGCATAAAAAAAATTATATATATATATATATATATATATATATATATATATATATATATATATATATATATATATATATATATATATATATACATACATACATACATACATACAATAACGACCATGATATTTTACACAGTTTTTTCTGTACTTAAATACTGTTAGACTCCAGAAAACCATAAAGCACGGTTTATTTCACTAAAATCTTTGCTCTGTCGTGTTTTTTATGCTTGCAATTTATTAAAATTTATTATTTTATCCATCTAGTTATATGACTAGATAATAAACCTTGATAAAATCATCTGTTGAGATTGTATTCATATCGCAATATATATTGCACCAAAAAAATCTGATTTTTCTAATATCGTGCAGCCCTTGTTCAAACTGTTTTACCAATCACTTATTGGCATATTATGTAGATTTCTCTCTGATATTACAGTCAACAATGACTTTTGCTGCTTGATTAAACCAGTTATTAAAAATGAGAAATGAAATGACACAATTCTTAAGTTTTTTTTTGGGACAACTTAATTGTTTTATGTTCAATCCACCTAAATTTGTAAAAAAAAAATGATTAACTTAATCGATTTGTGTTTGGACAACTTGAAGGAATTGTGTGGAGCATTTTTTACAGTGTTTATTTATACACTCAAAATGACGTTTACTACAGTTTGTTCAAGCTACTCATTTAAAATAAGCTAAAACAAAACCATTCATGAGATTTTTTTGTGACATTAATTGTTTCATGTATTATCCACTTACATTTGTTAAAAGCAATAGGCAAGGCAAGTTTATTTAAAT